GATTCCTACATTCAGGTGATTATACACTAATGAAAACATACATATGAATATTATATTCCATCTCTGCCAATAGATCCTCCTCAGTGTTACATCTTGCATCATGTTCAGAGTATCAAACCGAACACTGTGTGTGGAAGTGGGACAGTCTGATTCACAGTGAGCAGACATTTATTTATAGGAGAAATGTAGCAGATAATTAATTTAACTGAATATCAGTGAAGTCTCACCGCCAACACTCCCACAATCCTCTGCCAGAACAGTCAGAGGTGCTGTCACCACAGATGCATTGTGGGAGGGGAGGCAATCTGGAGAAACCTCCGGGAGAAACCAAAAGACAGACGCGAATGCTGCGAGTTTCCAGACTGCTTGTCTGTCTGTCTGACTGTCTGACTGTTTCGGGCTCAGTCGTCACAGCAGTGTGGGTCCAGGGGTCCTTGCAGTGGGATACAGGTTACCCTGCACAGAGCCTGATGAATAAAACACACACACACTTGAGTGCAATGAAATATTAATAAGAAATCTAAATTTGTACTTAAGTAAATAAGTTATTCATGTTCAGGTGACCTGTAATATAGCATTTTGGGCCAGTTATTGGAAGAGCCTTTAAAAAAAGTTAATAATTAAAGTCAATTAATGCCCCCCCCCCCCCGGCTCCTCTGTAGTTCACGCCCTGACTATGACTTGACTTCTGTAGCTCGCTCTGTCCTCTGCTGCCCTTTCTGCTTTTATCAATGAGAAACTGCTGAGAGGCTCAACGCTGACTTATATAACCTTATTCTGCGTTAATTGACTTCCTGTGTGTGTGTGTGTGTGTGTGTGTGTCTGTGTGTGGTCACATGACCCGTCCCTGCAGGCTGCTGCCGTTCCATCACATCACTATAACGACCACGTCACTAATGGACGGAGAGAGAAAAAGTCGGGGGTTTAGAGACCGAACAGAGAAAGAAACTGAAAATAATTCTGGTTTAAAAAAAATACATTTAAATGAATAAGTTTGTTTGTTTGAACCGGATGAAGGATTTT